CAGTAGTTAACCTGCTCTGTTGGTAGATGTTATGGTATATCCTCAATCTGTACAGACTGGCCTTGGTCGTATTTGAATACACAGCTTTATGGTGTTTTCTTTTGTTAATTGATTATAGTAAATATTTGAACATCCATGTAAGTTTGAAGACGTTTCATTGTTGACTTTAGGTAGCTGTGAATCCACCCATGTTAATCTGAAGCTATTTTGTTAAAGATTCAACAGATTTGTTGCATTCTTAAATATTTAATCTGTCCTATGTGTGCAGTGAAATGAACATTAAAGTTAATTCAGGAAACACTTTTGTCATCTTCTTTCTACAGTACAAATTGAATGATGCCTCTATTAAAATCATATATTTGTGACATCAAACTTTGTTTCTGTCATAAAGCAGGCTAAATGTTTGTAATTTACTTTCAACAAATGGAAACCAAAATGGTTTTAAAGTAAAGACGCTAGACGCTATGTAAACTCATCTACCTCAACACAGGTAAAATTTCCACTGTACGCAAATAAATGTAATTACGATTAAGTGAAAATTGTATAGCAGGGCTTTAACTCCAGCTCATAAGGGTCAGTGTCCTCCAATCTTTAGATGTCTATTCTTTAACGCACCTGAGTCAAATCATGAGGTCAGAGGTCATTAGCACGACTCTGGAGGACTTGACTGTCCTAAGCAGCCATTTGATTCAGGTGTGTTCGACCAGGACGTATCTAAATGTTGCAGGACACCAGACATCGATGCCTGGATCTGAGGATCCCGTTACCTCTAACAGGATCCTCAGATCAGTGTGTTCCTGCAGCAGCTCCATCGGATCAGAAGGTAGATGAGATTTGAAAGATCCTGATCCTCCAGAAAGTGAAATGACACCAGACCCGATCCATCAGTCAGCCGTTTTGTCCTGTGTAGAGATAAATATAAAATGTTATTTATACACATAGAAAGTCAATAAACTAGAATCGAAAGGCAATTTATTTCACTTAATTATATTCACTTAGTGAATAAAGTAAAAGGCAAATCAGAATATCTCACAAACTATATATACAAATATCAGCAACTCGACTTAGAAATGTGATTGGAACCTTTTGGGCAAAACAGATACTGTAAGAACCACACAGAGATCATTTTTTATGGATTAAAGATTCAAACTGTGCAGAATGAGACAATAAAAATCCACGCTTAGCTCCCAACAGCTAAAGTAGCATAGCTGACATAAACATTAGCTCCCGCTAACAGAAACATGAGGAGGGCAGAGTATCAAAATACCAGACATATAAAACGTAACCTGAAATCATTTATAATTACTCCATGTCTCATTATAATCGGAGGGCAAAGCCTGCAGGTTTAGCTCCTACTTACTTCAGAGGACAGACCACCGGGACGCTCCGTCTTGCTTCTGGGTTTGCCTGGCTATTTTTCCGGCCAGCGAACCATTCCGCCACCCAGTGGTCGCTTTTCAGACCACTTAGTCTCCTGTACCGCTCAAAAATGCACAATATGTCTGTAAATAATTTTAGGATATTATAAGGAAGTGCTGAGATATACCGTTTTCCACGAACTAAAGTATTTGCCACTTAGGCACAAGCACAGTGAGAAATGTCAGAGGATAAAAACACTAGACTCAGAGCAAAAGTCAGATGTCCCAGCTTTTACTAGCATGTAAACGCACCATCTACACACAAATCTGGGAGCTCCCGGAAGCGTGAAATGAGTCTCAAAAATAGTTGTGCACTCGTAACCGGATCTGTGTGTAAATGCAGTTTTGTGTACGAGTACCAGGTGATTTGTGTGTACTTTTTCAACATGTATAGGCGTAGGAGAAGGTTTATTTTATTTTTAAGGTTTATAAATTCAGTATTACACACGCACAGATATTTTTACACACACACACAAATCTTTTTACAAACACACAAATCTTTTTACACACGCACAAATCCTGTTATGCACGCACAAAACATTTTACACACACAAATCTTTTTATACACACACAAATCATTTTACACACACACAAATCTTTTTACACACGCACAGATATTTTGAGACTATTTTCACTCCATACTTTTTTGTCTCAATTATAACAAGTCATGTCCATGAGTTTTTTTGTTTTTTTTTTCTGCCCTGTTACTACTCGGGCTCCATAGAGTTCTTGTTTTTTTGAAAATTCACAAATAAAGACCAGAAAATCGAGCTCACTCCCCCGTATCAATATGAAGAGGCAACTTTTCTGTCACTTACAACTTTCCCTCCAACACCAAATGACACCTGCTGCGAATGGAACTGTCAGTCTTTGTTCACAGTTAGCCCAACTTTCTCTTTAAAAAAGAAAACCTTCCAGGGTTGCTGGATCAAAATAATTCAGCAATGAAGAGTGGGCTAAAATTCCTCTAGAGCAATCCCAAAAAATCCTGTTCTGCTATTTATGGTGAATGCCAGATGACAGTTGTTTGTAGTGGCACAACCACGTTGGTTTTCTCTGTTAATGAATGAAATGATCATTTGGAAACTGTCTTATATTTACTCAGATCACCTTTGTCTAAATTTAAAATTGTTTCATGCTGTGAAATATTTAAACGTGACAAGAAAGAAAAAATATACCAACTAATTTCTCTTGTGGCTGCATTTTTAGTACAGTAAAGAACTATGTCTCTACATGTATAAAGCAAAACAGCCAACATAAGTGATAACAGCAGCTATAAATAATGAAATAATCGTCAAAACCTGCTTATGCTCTGAAGTGTTGTTGGCATGTGAAGGCCTTAACATCTGAACACGCTTAATTATATGCAGGCAGAGGGGCTGGAGTGGCCACTAAAAAATGTCCTGTTGTCATAGCTACGGAGGCACTCCAGCAGCACGTCCCATTGAAGGGAAGGTCAGTGTAAACACAGCGGAGTCAGACTGGCAGACGTGCCACAGCTCTCCGTCATTTCCCCTAACAGCTAGGAGATGCTGCAAGGTCTCTGCCGGTCGCAAACTTTACAGAAAGGTTAGAGGGAGAAACATGATCACACTGATAGTGTGAGTGTGTGCCATGAGAGAAGTCGAAGCAGGTGCAAAGGGCTAAATCTCTATAATTTCTATTGCTTTCATATTTCTTTCCCAAGAAAACAAAAAAAAAAAA